AGTGGATAGAAGTGGACCTACTTTTTCAGGAAACACATAACTCTATAAGGTTAGGACGACCTTGTGTACAACTGTTGATGAACCGAGGGTGTTCAAAATCGGCAGAAACTTTTCGGACAACCCAACCCAATATTTAGTATGACTAATTAACTGGTAGTTCGAATAATATAATCACCATGTTTACTCAAAATAAGAGGTCAGCTAATCTGTTATATCTAAAAGCGGTATCGTATTCCCTATAAGGGGGACTGTCTCTACAATACTCACCATACTCGTTTGCTTGATTTTCCACTTCTTGATGAAACCCACTGTCTGCAGTACGAACAGTTCTTGGAAGGGATGGCGTCTAAAGAAGGAGAGTTAACACTAGCATCTCGGAGAGCAAACTTCTTTATAGTCTATAAAAGTAAGTTCATAGATTATCATCATAAAAATGACCCTGTTATAGAGCAACACACCTGATAATCGGCATCTGCGACAAGCCGTGCGTGTTGCCGTTGCTGATCACCCCCTATGTGACCTATACGTACTTCGTTTTCGGCCGCATCAGGTTGTTCAACAGAAGGTTGTAAGGCGTCAACTAAAAGTATTCTCAACTAACAAAGAGAACATAGGACAGTCGAATTCTCACACATCATAATAATGACTTGGAACTCTAATATCTCAGCACACCGTGCAAACAGAAGAAAATTCATAATCACTTTACAACTCAGCAACTCACCGTTGCGATGGGCTTCTGATCGTGGTCTGCTCGACGATCTCTTCAAAACTGGATATTCTATCTGAACTATAACTATTAAGCAACTTGAAATTACGCCGGATAACTGAACATCATGCGTGATATACTCTCAAACACTTTGTTTGCTCTCACCTTTGTTTTTTGACCTTCTCCTCGACGTAAAAAAGGGAAGGTTTTCTTGGGAGGTGACCGTCGTCGTTCCTCCGACATCGTCGATCGGAGATCCGCTAGCAGGTTAGGACAATTCTAGACCGCAAGATTGGCTGTAAGCGTTGCACTTTTCTCATAAGTGAACTTGAAGATGCCCTCCAGTAACTAAACAGAAGCAATGAATATCAAACAAAATGCAAACACAATGCTTCACTGACCGGAAAAGTCGATTATTATAAAAGAAATTGTAGCTGCTGCACGATTCGAAGGCATAAATGGATAAACAAAATTGTGGCTACTGCGACATTCGAAGGCATAAATGGATCACCACTCACATCACCAAAGAGCAGGAGCAACAATAGAATATTCATTCACTCTCTTTGTTTACTCATAACAATAACAACAACTGAGGTAGGGGAATGAGGCCTTTGGCACTCACAACAGGTCCTCTTGAGAAAATATACATCCGATTCTTCATGCATAGCACTCCGTCGCATTCAAGCATGGGCATACAACAGTACTCAGAAAAAGCAAGCAAAAAAAGTCAGTACAACTGCTATCCTTTTTCTACGCTCTTTTCAATTTTCTTCAATAAAACTTCCATCTGTGCACCAAGGTTCGGCTGACCCTTCTTGTTGCATTTACGTAAAGCCTTGTTCATTTCTTTTTTGGAACGAAGATATTTTTCCAGCATGGCTTGCCGTTTTTCTCGCTCTATCTGACGGGCAACCTTTTCTTGTGCTTTCTGTTGCTGTATGCGTTCATACACTCGTTTTGCCTGTTCATAAGCGCTGATCTTGTTCCTTTTCTTCGACCTGAAATTCTGACTCTGATTGAAAAGTCTGGATGTAAGGAACTGATGACAAGAGGCTCACGTCTGCTTACTGACCTACTGAATGAAGGCGACGGCTCCGAAGTACCACCTTCCGTAGGCTGGTCAACAGCTTCCGCTGCGTTCTTGCTTTTTCCTTTCTTCATGCCTTGATTTGTATAAATATTGTCATGGCGCAAAACTATAGGGAAGATGCAAAGAATACAGGATAGTCTATGAAGGAAAAAGGAAAAAGAACGAATCTACATGAAGATTGGGATACCGCCTGGGTTAGATGAAAGCAATGTCAGTCAAACAAAAAAAAA